TTAGAATCTGCACCCCCCCCCACCCCACCCCCCAGTCCTCTGAATTGGCCATTTATTATTTGTGAAACGCTCCTTTAAAAAGTGCTAGCTTCTGTTTATATTTGGGAAGGAAATGAAACCGAATCTGCGAGAAGGCCTGACAGTTCCACCCCAGATGGGGACGTGTCCCTTGCAAAGCCCTGAACTTGAGGTCTCCCCTTCAAAGGCAAAGTGCTTACTGCGCTTTGGCTGCCCTTATCAAATATGGTTGCCTTTTCAGATCAAAGGCCGTGGCGCTCTGGCTATCAACGGTCTCTTGCTTCGGAAGGAAGCAAAGCGAAAAGTGACAGGGTGAAAACATCCTGAGCGCAATGAGCTTCCCCAAATAGCTGCACTGTGAGGCCTCCTGGAGGGGTATCTGGGCAGACACCCGTCTCAGCCGCTGTGATGATAAGGGGACCGAGGAGGTCAGCCATCTAACAGTGGTTAGACGCTAAATAGAAGTTTAATCTGGACTTGGAGAAATCGGTGGAAAAACAGACATTTAAGTGGGATTTCTGCGTTGAATAAATGAGGCAGGAGAACTGAAAAACTGAGCAAGAGGGGAAGGAAAGAATAATAAAAACCCCGTGCACATAGCTGAGTGGAAATGCTAACGGGGTGAGTCTGTCTTGGACCTGACCTTCTCTTGCTCCTGAGAAGTGGGAGAGGACCTCGGCATCTTTGGCTATCAGTCTGGCGATGGCTGAAGGTTTGGGAGCATGGCAGCTGCTGCCGGGGCCACCTCCCTCCCGATTAGGGATCCAAGTGTGCCCGAGGCTTCTGGAAGCCTCCTGTGTCTCCCTGCGTCCGATGACTGGCCAGGCAGAGGGCAGCGAGGGTCGTGGGTGAGCCTCTGCCTCCGGCTGCACAGGAGGGCGGGTCTCCTCTCTCCCTTGTCTGCATGGCAGGCTGAGGTTATAAAGGCTACACTTTGGAAGTCTGCTGGGGAGGTGACAGAGCCGCTACAATCACAGCTCCCATCGGCGGTTGTCTTCTTCAAAAAAGAAAATGTCTGGGGAACTCCCTGATGCTTTAAAATGAGCCCTCTGCTGGGAGGGTTGGCATTATCTGCCAGGACTGAGAACACCCCACGTCGGTTTACAATCAGTTCAAAGTGGAGGGGCCAGGTTGTTGGGTTAAAAGCTGGAGGTCTGCGGCCATTATTCTGTGATGTCTGGGCCTGTGTCCCCGCACAGCTATGCACCCTTGAGCTGGTCGTAGCAGATGCACAACATAGATTTCCAAGGTCCCCTGTGTCACGGGGAAGAAACTTAAGACCTGGCACAGGAACCTAATTTTCCTGCAAAAGACTTTGGAGCCTGCGTAAAAACTGGGCCCGGCTGCTTTAGTTCCTATTAAAGCTCCCTCACTCGGCACTCACGAAGTCATGCTTTCTGTCTCACTCGAGTAGTGGAAGCCAGATGATAGCTGGTTATTTTCTGAGTCAGCTCCTCCGGAACCGGGGTCAGCTCCCTCTCTGCTTTTCATCAGCTACGGGAGCTCAGACATGTCACGGAACCTGTAACCTCTCCTCTTCTGCATGGCTGGTTTTGCATATTAAATGAGATGATGTATGCAGAGCTAGCGTGAGCCTGACACATATGTGCTCGATCAATGGGACCATACTCAGTCTGGTTTCCTGAAGATGCACAGAATTTTAAGTGTAAAAAAAAAACCCTGCGCTAGATCCTATGGGGTCCTGATCGACGATAAACAGACATCACGAGTCCTACAGACGGGATGCACCACCTAGGATGTTCTCGGCCACTGGAAACGCTTGCGACAGCGCAGCGGTCAGAGTCACTTAATCTGGGAGAAAGCTCTTAGAAAGGAAATGTGGCCCGGGCTTATCACTTTCACCAAGCTGCAAAACATCCTCACAACTGTTCCCCAAACATGTCAAAGAGTAAGAACCAACCCAAATGGACAAGGGAGATGCAAGAGAGCATCACACTGCAGAGGGAAGCGGCAGACACCCAAGCCCACTACCCGCCCCACGTGGCCTCCCCCGCCTCGAAGTTGGCCCCGGCCCCTCAGCACATGGCAGCGAGCAGCCGGCTGCCAGCACGCCCGCCTTGCTGCAAATGGGGGTGCCGGGGGAATCTGGGCCGCCGCCTGCCTCCCAGCTGCTTTTGGGAAATCTCACGGAGCTGGGTCATGCAAGTTCAACCCCGCTGCTCGGGAAGCGGGTCCAAGGCTGGCTTGCGCGGGAGGCCTGGAGCATCCTGCTGGGTGGGTTACAGGGTGGGGGGGTGCCCTCCGGGTTTTCCTAGGAGGTGTTTATGTTCCTGGGAAAGGAAGGGAGGAAGAGGAAGCGCCACACTCCTTTACCGTCAACCACCACCGCTGTCAGCAGGCCCTTCTTCTTGCTGCTCAGCCGGTCGTGCGTCTGGCACTGCTGGTCGCGGAAACTGGGCAGCCCCTTGGGGCAGGGCAGGTTCTCGCAGACGGCGTGCTCCACGCTGGCGCCCGGGCAGTGCGTGCCTCCGGGCCCGGGGCTAGAGGGGAGAGATGGGTCCACGTTAACCAGATGGAGCTGTGGATATAGCGGGCGTTCCGTTTTTGCCTCCTTGCCAGGAGAGGGAGGGGCTGGGCGAGCTTTCCAGAGCACCCCCTCTCCTCTGCACATCACATCTCGGCAGCCCCGGGCCCACGCTGACGGCAAGTTTCAGTGAGCCGTCAGGAAAATGCGTCCAGAGGCTGTAAATCAAGGTCATCTGGAAATGCAATATGGTGAGTATCAGTTCAGCAAGATCCACAAATTGTGTCTTTCATCTGAACTTAAAACTTGGCCATCTGTACCAAGAATATCCCAAGGGAAATTTATGGTGTGTGTGGGTTTTGTTTTCTTTGGTCTTCTATAAAATGAAGACCTTTAAAAGGCCCGTAGGTACACTGCTGAGGTAGCCAAGTTTCAGGATGAGTAAATAAATAGCTCTCATTTACTTTATAATGGAAAGAATCAGAATGATTAATTCCCTTGTTCATTGGCTTCGGGTAGACACCAGTTAGATCTCTGCTCTGAAACCTTTACCTGGGCAAGTGTGAGACCACGTGTGGTCAGTGACGCGGTCTTAGGCCCTAGATGCTTAGACTGGGGTTTTGACCAGTTCTGGAGACCCAGCTGGGTTCTCTGGCCAAGTCCATGTATGAGGGGCATTGTGGAGGTGTCTGAGTTTGATCTCCAGGTTAGAAAATAGCAAAATCTCTCTAAGGTTTATGGGATCTGAAAACAGAGGGATCTTTTGTTCCTTTGCCCAGAGCACCAGTGAAGCAGGTGGGTCTCAAAGAAATGGCCCCGTGTGGCATTTTTCGGAAGATGGAGTTTCAGGCAGGCTCCCTGAGAGCCTGGAGCCTGAGTGCCAATTGCAGACAGATGAATGGATTCCTGTGCCCAAAGCGTGGTGTGGACGGAACACAGATGGGCTGGCACTTGGAAGAGCCGCGTGGATCAGCAGGGGTGACATCTCTGTAACAGGTGAGCTCCCATAGCTGGGACCAGAGAAGGGATGGTGGGGGGGCGCAGGGGTATATGGTGAGGAGTTATGGGCAGAACTGCGTCCTGCCTAAAATTCTCATGCTGAAGTTCAAACCCCCAGCACCGCAGAATGTGCCCTTATTTGGAAGTAGGACCACTGCCGATGTAATTAGTTAAGATGAGGTCATCCTCGCGTAGGGTGAGCTCCTAATCCAATACAATGGGTATTGCTATAAAAAGGGAAATCTGGAAACAGACTTTCCCTTTTTATAACACCACCAGCACACGTGGGGAGAATGCCAAGTGAAGATGGCATCCAGGGTGATGCTTCTGCACACTACGGAGCACCAAACATGGCCAGCAAACTGCCAGCCGCGAGGAGACAGGCATGGGACAGACTCTCCCGCACAGGCCCAGAGGGAACCAACTCTGCCAACACCTTGACCTTGGATGTCCTGCCTCCCCAACTTGGAGAGAATAAGTCCCTGTTGTCTACGACGCCCACTTAGGGGTAGTTTGTTATGGCAGCTCTGGGAGGTGACTACGCCACATGTCATGAGGACCAGGCGCATCCTCACCGGACTTCGATGCAGACCCTGGGAAATGGGGCAGAACCCCCTGAAGTGATTAGGAATCCTCCATGGATGAGAGTGGAGTTAAAAAAAAAACAAATCAGGTTGGTTTCTAGGAAATAAAGGAAGCTGTGCTTCTTACACACTTTAGGGTGTGAATCGAGATTTGCACACGTCACATAATTTGCTTTGTGGGCTGTCATCGAGCTTTATTTGAGCTTCCGTTGCATCTGTCTCCCTCAATTGATGTTTCCAGATTTACGTCTGACTGACCCCCATATACCAATGACCACGAAGTCCCGCAGCAGGTCGGGGGAGAGGTTAGACATGACAACTGCTAGATCCGGCAGACAGTGAGCCTGTGGGGTTCCACGTGGGCCTCAGGGAGCTGCCTCCTGAATGCTGTTTACCCTGTTTCTAGCCCATCCCAACCTTATCCCATAGGCAGTCTCTTTTCAGCCCCCATCCAGCTCACTGCCCCATCTCTCCCCCATCCCCAGCTCTCTGCCTGTCCTAAAGGCCACCTCACCCCGAAGCCTATTATTCCTTCCTCCCTGGAGCCTCTCCTGACCTCGCTTGGGTCTCTGCCATGCAGCTTACCACCAACCTTGTAAAGTGCTGCCCTCGGTCCCTAGCTCTTTCTGTTCCTCTGCAGCCTCCACCAGGGAACTCACACAGGCTGGTCTTTAAGACGCAGTAGTTAGAATGAATTGAACTATATTATTAGAATGAATCTTAAAATGGCCAAAAGAGAGGGTGATGTCAGGGAAGGCGGTGGAACAGGAGGCACCAGGAACCCGTCTCTCTACCTAGACAACCACCGTATGGGCAGAAACTGCCTGAAGTAACAATTTTAAAACTGGAGTCTGAAAGGTTTCGGTACCTCCAGGAGGCAGCCTGGCTGGGAAGATGGGGTTCATTTTGGCCAATTCCGGTTTCCAGTGCGGTCGTGGCAATCTGTTCCCTATGCCCCAGTGGACCATAAGGAGCTTTTCCTCCACATGCCTCGAAGGAGAGGGGCCAGTGAGTTGAGCTCTCACCCTGAAGTGAGGCCCAGGCACTTGAGGACACTGTGAGAGGCTGTGGGGACAGAGGCGCCCTCACATAAACGAACAGCGATCATAAGCTCATGTGCCCAGAGGGCGCTCATTCTGTCTGCTCTTTGTGGCCATGACCTCGCCAAGTCTGCACAAACAACCAGGTGGGGTTCCTGACTGCGCCCTTCAGGTGAGGAAACAGCTCAGCTACGCTGGATGCAGCAGGAGCGGGCGGGGAGGGGGCTGGCCCGCGGCTCTCGAGGCTGGCCCACCGACACCGTCACCATCACCTGGGGCACGATGAATGTTTCGGCGTGCCTCTCCAATACCGACCCCCAGTTTCTATTTGTACCCTAAGAGGATTTTCTAGACACAAATAAAGTAGAAGTTTAGATACTAAACCAAATGACTTACTTGCACAAACACTTCCCAAGAAAGGATGTCCAGAGGCAAATACAGACACACGCGGATGTTCCACCTCACAGCTAATCAAAGAAATGCAAACAAAACCTCCGCGAGATCCACCCCGCACCCACGAGAACCGCCAAAGCAGAGAAGACGGCGCACCAAGCGCTGGTGAGGGTGGCGAGCAAGTGGAAGGAAGTTCACGGTTGCTCGGGGCAGTGGCGATGGCACGGCCGCTCTGCAAAGCTGGGTCCTCGTGGTCACACACGGGCGCACGGGGGGCCACCCCCACCCCCACGGAGCCCACACGCGCCCGCATGGGTGCCCAACACACACTCTCGACTCTGGCGAGCCGCCCTGGGCAGGGAGCCGCACTCTGGGACGGGGGCCCTTTTCTGTGTGTGAAATCGTAATAAAGATGTTTACAACTAAGGTGAAGCACGAGGCAGAGGGGCTTTGGGGAGAAACTGGAAGTGTGGAGAGAGTCAGGTCCTCCCCAGCTCCTCAGGGCGGGGCTGTCTCCGGCCAGGGCGGGCCCCACGTGTTTGGGGCAGATGCCGGCACAGAGGGGAGGCGGCGAAGGCGTGCAGAGGTGAGCAGGGTCACACGGCTGAGATGCCGGGAGAGGAAGGACATGTCGAATGGAGGTGGGAGGAAGAGAGAGAGGCCAGCGGAGAAGCACTTTTCATGTCGTTGCTGGGCTCTGTTTAGTGAAGACGGATCAGAGGAGAAAGTCACAACAGTGGCTCCGATGGGCTCACCATCGGGAGATGTGCGAGCTCAGGGGAGAGCCCGCCCCTTGGCCTCCAGCCTCTGACCTAGGAGCTCCCGCTAGGGAGCGGGACACCGTCGCCGGGTTTCAGAAGCGGGACAGGGCGGCTAACGCCCCTTCAGGGCAGCAGACATCCCAGTTTTACCTCTGAAAGGTATCCAAGTAACAGATGTAACTTAGGCTCCCATGTAGACCAGAATTTTAAAAAAACATCCATGCGAACACCAGGTCACTGGCGTGTGGAGAGAGCACATACGGGGGTTTCACTGTGGGAGCAAAAGCCTCCTCAGTCCTCACACTGGGTCTTAGAAGCAGCCTGCTACCCTTTCTGATGCTCCTGGGGTGACACCCCCGTGACCCTGACACCTTCCTGGTCCCACGCTGCTTTCACCTGTCTGTCCTCCTTGGGCTCCAGCAGAGCCGGCTCTTCACACGACAGCACCTGAGCCTTTCCTCCCCTCTTCCTCCCCCAGCCCTCCCCCAAACAGGAGCCCTCCGACAGGGAAGAGCATCCGAATTAGAGGTGACCTATCTGCCTTGCAGTCTTTTGGCGGAAACTCCCACCCACAGGGACACAGATTATGGCAGGAGAGCGCGAGCCTAGGAAGCTGGGTTAAAAACATGGATGATCCCCAAGGCCTTGATGTCAGCTGGCAAGAAACGAAAATTCCAATAGCTGTAAAGACCAAGACGAGAGAAAAAAAGGGTGTGTGGGGGGGACTCTCCTGCCAGTGTTTTTGGACAGTGAATAAACCAGCTGCAGAAGACGGGAAAGGGGCCAGGAGTAAAGCGAAGGGGTGGGGACAGAGCTGTGGGAACGTTCCAAGCCCGAGATGTGCACAGCAGTGAGATTTGGACATCCTTGGGAAATCTCAAGGCAGCGAGCCTGGTGATTTAAGGACTGAGCTGGGGAGGGAATGTTGTTTTGGTCAGAGCTTGGCTCTGGGGCCTCGATCAGCTGTGTTTTGTAACAATCACCACATCAGGTCATTCTGCAAAAACAGCTGACGGCGGCTGCCTGGACTTCATAAGACAGTGCCTGCTGCACCCTGCAGCTCCCCAGGAGGCACCGGGCCCGCGGCTGAACCGCCCCCCCTCAGGCCGGCCCCTTCTCTCCCCTTTCACCTGGGGTGGTTCCGTGAAGGTGAGAAACGCGGTAGAACACAAGGGGAAAAGAGCTCACCGCTCCCTTCAGAACGGGAGGCAGAGCTACTCTGTTATTGCAAAAGATCGGACGGGGTACCAAGGTGTGTTACAGGAGCAAAACCATATTGCTTCTCTCACTCAGGACACCGCAGACCGGGTTAGACTCAGAGCTTGTCCTGAGAGGGCAGCGGGCACCCTACAGTCCCGTGGCACAGGGCGGGCACCTGTGAAGACGACCCTCGTGTGTGCAGGGGGGCCTGGACCCCGCTCCCTGGCCGTTCACAGCATTTGGGCCTCAGCGAAGCCAGATGGTACAAGGCAGAGCTGATCCACCTTCCTGGCATGATAATTTACAAGAACCTTAGTGTTTCGGGGGGAAAACAATACTAGGTGTGTGTCTGGGGGCACCGGCAGTGCAGAGAGGCTGCGTGCACCCAGGCAGTGGGCTGGGCAGCACACGCTAGGAAGGCTGCTCTATGGACGCACAAAAGGCCGAATGGTGCCCGAACAGGTGTGGCCTTCGTGGGGCTCAGAAGCCAGTGGGGAAGGCAAAGTGAAAACAAGGAACAAATACAGAAGAGTCATCACAAATTGTTCTAATACACGTACAACATTACGCAGGGTGCCGCCGAGACAGAGCGCAGAGCAAGCCGCCCGCCCGACGCAGGTGGTCAGGGCAGGGGGCCTGTCTGAGGAGAAGGTAAGTGAGGGGAGGGAGAGGAGCACTGACGGGGCCCAGAGGCTGGGGCATGTGTCTGAGAGCAGAAAGGAGGCTTCGAGGCTGCAGTGGGCTGAGCCCATGCAGAACCTACCAGTGTGGCCTTAATTGGAAAAAGGGTCTTGGCTGATGCAGTGAAGGAACTCTAATTGATGAGATGTGATCATCCTGAATTAGGGCGGGCCCTACATCCGGTGACACATGTCCTTAGAAGACAAGACACACAGAGATGGAGGCCGAGGTCGCGGAGGGATAAGTCTTTCTTCTCGGGGCTGGAGGGGGGACTATTTAACTTCAACACAGAGCAATGTAAGAACTGAAACCACTCTGCGTTAATCTCTCACCATTTCGCTAGACAGGGCATCTAACCATTTACCCATCTGTGATGATTAATTTTATGTCAGCTCGACTGGCCACAGGGCGCCCAGGTTAAACATTCGGGCTGTGTCTGGGAGGGTGTTTCTGGGTGAGAGAGATCAGCATTTCCGTCGGGGGACTTGGTAAAGCAGACTATCCTCTCCGGTGCTGTGGGTATCATCCAACCCATTGAGGGCCTGAATAGAATGAAAGGCAGAGGAACTGGTCGCCCACCCTCCTTGAGCTGGGACATCTCTCATCTCTGCCCTGGTTCTCAGGCCTCAGACTCACTGGCTCTCCTGGGTTTCCAGCTTAAAGACGGCAGACCTGGGACTTCTCAGTCTCCATGATCATGTGAGCCAATTCCTCATAATAAATACATTTATCTACGTATCTATGTATGTATGTATGTATCTATCTATCATCTATCTATCTATCATCTATCTATCATCATCTATCTATATTCTACCTATGTATCTATCTACTTATCTACCTATTGGTTCTGTTTCTTTGGAGAATCCTAATACACCATCAGCGCTCTTAATTAAGAAGTCACTCCTACAAGATTAAACACCTCCTGTGTGTCAGGCACACTGCTAGGTGCCAGAGGAGCAGGTTTTAACAAGACAAAATGTGTGATACTAACTCTGATAGCACAACTAGGGGGAAAAAATGGTGTTCCTGGCATTGACTAAACTGTGAGCATAAATTTCTCTTTAATCCAGAGGTTCTCAATCCTGGCCAGTGGAGTGACCCACAGAGATTTAAAACATCCGACTCCTGGGCCCCACCCCAGCGTGTGTGATTTATTTGGGCTGGGATACAGCCAGGGCATCGGGGGTTTTGAACACAAGAGGGGATCTGCTAATTATTCATCAACATGACTTAATTGTGGATATAAAACCTTTCTAATTCAGTCATAATTTATAACTTGCTCGTTTACAAAATTAATGGGATGCAGCTGAGGGCACATGAGATGGAAACCAGACCATTTAAAGAAATATTAAAAATGGGAAGTTTCGAGAGAAGAGAAAAACCTGCTTGGTGAAGGAATCAAGACTGAGCACAAAACTAGCCCCGAGCTTTCTGAAACCAAGATGCAGAAGTGAACAAGGGTCAGAGGGTCACCACAGTCGATAAAAGAAAACCTATTAGGAAAAAATACCTGAAATAAACCCAGTTTCAGTCAAATAGTTCTAAGAGGACAGCTTCAAATATGTGGACGAGCAAAACAGCTGACCCCACGGATGCTTTCGTGACTCATCAGCAGGCAGGCAGCTCCCAAGTCAGCTAGCAGCCAGTTTGCAGGTTGGCGTCTCTCTCCTTAGTCTACAGGCTTCCCTGGAATGACCCTCCACTGAGGAAGTCTGCGAAGCCGGCCAGGCGGGCCTGTCCTCCAGCTGTCCCTGGAAGCCTTTCGAGGGAGGCTCAGGCTCAGGCAAGGACCTGCCGCATCCGTGTTCCCAGAAAGAGCTCTGGGAAGCTGATCGGCCACCTGAGAGACACAAGCCCCGCCCTGGGCCCCGGGTGTGTTTCAGCTTCCTTAGGTTCGGAGTCTCCTTGGGAGACAAACCCTGCACAAGGCGGTGAGAACTGCACGAGCGGGGCACCTTGGAGAGGCCTGGTCGGGGGCACTTACGGGGGGTTGTCACATTTCCTCTGCCGGAAGCGGGCTCCCGTCCCACACGTGCGGCTGCACATGCTCCAGGCGCCCCAGGGGCTCCAGTCTCCGTCCACGTGCTCTGGGATGGGCGTCTTGCTCACGCACTCCCCTGCTCGGCACCACTGAAACACAGCGCGTCCTTCCATGTGAAAAGTCACCATCACACCAGCCAATCGCTCTGCGTAACTTTGTCAAAGTAGGCTATCTCGGGGTGTGCGTGCTTGCTAACTCCGGGGACATTCCTCACTCACTCAACCTGACTCCAATATCCCTCCCCTCTAGGGTATGGGTTCTGCCCTAAACTTCCACACGAGATGTGCTCCTCTAGAGTTTGCTGAATTCCTAGAAACAGGACGAATCCATGTGGCTCATGAAGAGGCCTGGGCTTCTGCAAACGTGGCTGAATGTGAGTCTCACTCTGGAAGGCAGAGTGTCCTGTGTCCTGGTTCTGGGGGTCTGAACTTCAGGGTTGCGTTTACTGCTCAGAGGTGACAAAAGCCAGCCCCACATGGGTGAACCTTGGTTCCCTCTGAGGACAAGAGAAAGCCAGTCCTCCAACATGGAACTTCCCAACGTGTGCGACATAAACCCTGGAGCACAAGAGCTGATGTGTGGTTCCCGGTCGCAGCACCTCCTTTGATCCTGCAGTAAGACTAAGGAGAAAGTCTGGCCCTGGACCCCTCTCTTCTCTCACAAGTATCAATCTCTCCTACTAATGAAGATCAGGCCGCAGGCTCACTCTCTGAACCTCTAGCTGGGATGGGACCACTGTTCTCCTCACATCCATTTCACAGTAGCCTTTAGTGTTATGGCAAGCAATCCTATTTTTCCACCTATGGTCTACCGATGTAAAAGTTTGCAAGTAAATGCACTTATGTGACAAAAGGAGGTCATTTAACGAAAATAATAAACAAATGATTCTTGTATCTTAAAAGAAAAAAAAAGATAAGTGGCCCTCTGCCCAGAGTGGGCTCCATGGGCATTTCTGGGGAGGCCCATGGGATTCTTCAGGGGTTCCTGAGAACAGGGAGACATACCCAATGCCCAGGAGGTGGAGGGGCTGCCCGCTGGGAGTGGTGATTGGCGGGTTACCTTGTCTGCCCCACACTCAGTGCCGTCCAGGGGAGGGTCCAGCTTGGTCTTGCAGGAGGCGTCTCCTTCCACCAGGCACCACAGTCCGGCGCACATCAGATGCTGCTGACACGGGAAGAAACGTGACTGCCTAGGATCACAGCAGGGGTGGTGAGGAGGGGGCCAGTGACTGGCTTGGGCTTGGGATTTGGAATAGCAGGGGAAGGAGGAAGGTCTGAATCTGGATGTCAGAAGAAATAAAAGGTGCGTCATTTCAACTGGTTCATTTAGCTCAACAATATTCTGTGCATTTACTCCTGGGAAGGTTGTCTCCGGGGGAATCAGCTCGGCAGTCCAGCAGTAACCATTACACAGACCCAGAGCTGAGGACTCAGGGCTCCCACGGGTGAAAGAGACAGCCTTCCATTCTCCCCGGGGTGACCCAACTTCTAGCTCAACTGAGCTACGCACCATTTCTTATAGCATTTCACCTAGAGAATTTCTTCACATGCACATATACACAACTAAAGCAATTCTACTAAAGCAAAAAGTAGGCCTTTACAAATGCAGATTCCCACTTGTATTAAGAGGAAACTGGGATGTGGAAAAGGTGCTCAGAATGAGACAATTTACAAAAGTGACTGCAGCGGACACAGCTGGTGTCCTCCCCATGTGCCTCGGTCTCCCCTGCAGGAGTTGGGGCAGACAGCATCCACACGCATCTCCCTGCTGGAGGCAACCCTGGCCACGGAGCAACGCTGGGCCCCGAGGGACGGGAGCTGAAGCGAGGCGGCTCTGAGGCAAGTTCCACGTGTGTCCCAGAGAGTCCAGGTGGGATGGCCCCGCTGTCCACGTGGTCGCCTGCCCATCTGTGCGCCTCTTGACTCTCCTCTCTCCACTTCCCTGCCCCATCACAGTGCTTCCTGGGATCACCTCCCAGATAAACTACTTGCACCCAAATCCTCGTCTCGTGGTCTGAAAATTGAGACCAGATGTACTTAAGGCTCTTTTAAAGACACAGCATTTCCAGGAAGCCAAACCCCATCATGGTGAAAAAATCCAAGCTGGGGCAGGGAAATGTCCCCCCCCCCAGGGCAGGCGGGGGGACCTGGGGTGTACTTTGGGCAGGGCGAGGGGCAAGGGTCTCTGGCACAGCTCAGGGCAGGCTCAACGGGGTTCGCCAAGGGTGTGCCACGCTCAGTTTCAAGGTCTGCCGTCCGAAGGAATCTCAAACATCTGCACAGAAGATAGGTGCTGTCAACTCCACTGATGTCAGCAGATGTTCAGAAGTGGAAGGGACCAAAATAAGGGGGGGGGGAAAGGGCAAGAAAGCAGCACCCCAGGGGCTTTAACAAAAGAGCTGAGAAAAGCCCACAGCTCTTTCTCAGCTTTCACGTCTGTTGGAGCTGCTCTCTGCCTTGAAAGAAGTTGATGATTCAAGCGGAATATTGTGCGTTTGGGTTCAGAAAAGCCCCCACGTCCCCATTAGAATGGTAAAAAGATGAGAGCCTTGAGCTCAGCGCCGGCTGGTCCCATAAAGACCGACTGCACCTCATTAAATGTTTGATTCCATGCACTTTGACCCAAGAGCTCTTCGAGGGTGCGGTGTCAGTGTGCGGACACATGTTCCAGGGACAAGGCTGACCCAGGAGGTGAATTTATGGGGAGGGAGTACTTGGGATTAGGAGACATAACTGGCCCTTCAGGAGAGAGGGGGAGAAGGCGGCATAAACTGTTTATTATGCATTTTATAGACAGAACTTTCCCATAAAAGTTTCCTAATCATCCGAAAAAGAGCAAATGAGGTCAGGCAAAGACTTCTTAAACGGAATCCAAAAACTACGAACTATAAAGGGAAACACTAATGAATTACACTGTATTAAAATCAAGAACTTCTGTTTCTCGAAAGACAATTGTAAGGAAGTGAGAGAAGATATTTAATGTTTACCATATATGGGAGAGATATCTGTAATGCATAGAACAAAAGGTTGTATGCAGACTATATAGAAAACAAAAAACCAAAAATCTCCTACAGATCAATTAAGAAAAAAGACCCAGTCCTGGCCAGGTGGCTCAGTTGGTTGGAGGTTGGATCCCAGGTCCCGGCACATAGGGGAGGCAGCTGATCGATGTTTCTCTCTCACACTGATGTCTCCCCCCCCC